TGGGCAAATCACTTCTCTGGGCTCACACATTTCCACCTCTAACATGCAAAAGTGGGGGCTAGAAATGTGAGGATAGAAGAGATAATCATCAGGGTTCCCCTTCTAAATTTTTAATATACGGCCCTCTGAAGTAATAGGAAGCTAAATGGGAGACTAGTTTTAAGTGTTGTTGTTTCCCAAAATATAATTGGGAAACATTGAGAATTCCCAAGGAGGACAGACCTTTTGCTAATTGCTGAATGGTGGGTAGGGAGCTGTGGTCCCTATTCTTATGTAAAAGAAAGCCTTTCAGACAGGGTATCATTGCAGGGGAACAACAGTCCCCAATTGCCTTTAATATCATCTTGTAGTGAGATTCAGGGTTTGCTTTCCTATGCTCATCTGAGCCAGACGTCCCTACAGGAGGCCCATCTCTTCATTAGTTAATGATATTTTAACCACAATGAAGAGATGAGGTTATTATTCATTACAGTGTCTTTATGTGAACATTTGTTTCAATTTAGGCTGAAAATATTAGAGAATATTCAGATTGTGACACCACGGCACTCTACTGAGGGTGACATAGTGAGACTCTGTCTCCAAAAAAAAAAAGTATATATATATTAGATGTTTATAAATATATTGTTCATGAACTACTGAAAGTGATTTGGAACTCTGAGAACAGGAAGAATACCTTAAACGTTATGACACAACCTCGGAAAGTTGAATGTTATGCTTATTTTTTTAAGTAGATCTGTCATCATTTTCACTGACTTTATAAATTATAGACTATCCATCATACATTCCCCCTCCCATGTCACTCTGAACTGTATTATTCCTGTTTTCTTTGACTCCCACATTCTCTTGCTTTAATTTATCTGCTATTTCCCTTATAGTCTTTGGAAAACGAACAGTGCATATGTGTACACACACCACATTGGAACACATATGGAGTTTAAGGGATGCATTCCTAAATAAAACATCTGGGTTCAAATCCTGGCTCTAACTGAAACCAGCTGTGTGACCTTGGACAAGTGACTTAACCTCTCTGTGTCTCGGTTTCTTCACTTGTAATGGGGGGGATGATGATAATGTCTACCTCATGGAGATAATTGTGAAAACTAAATTACATAATTCATGTAAAGTACTCAAAAGAATATGGCATGCACCTGCTGGCATATAGTTAGTATTTTATAAATAAGAGTTCTTATTGTATACAGTAGAATCTCCATAGTTGACCACCTCCCTATATTGACTACCTCCTTAAGTTGACCTGATTTTCATAGACTGGACATGCACCACATGTACATATCAGTACAGTAAGCCTAGTTTCTTATGTTAACCACCTCTGTGTGTTGACCAGTGTGTTACGGTTCCTTGGGTGGTCAACTTACTGAGGTTCTTGACAGTTAAATTTGAACTTCACTGTGTGTGTATGTGTAATGATTATGTAAGTTGTATTTTGTTCTGGCTAAAACTAAAGGTAAATTGCCTTCCTTATACATGTATCAGCTACTGGGAGGATGTGATCCTCAGTATGGTATGCCACAGGTGCAGGTGGGGCTACCACAGGATTAAAATACATCTACTAAGGGGATAATCTACATGCAGACAAGAAAGTTGGTTTTATAAACCTTATGAAGTGATTCCCCATAGGCCCTTCAATAGTCACTGCAGAGAGGTGAAATTACCAGAGGCTGTGGCCAATTGATCTTAACTCACTGGTATCCACCACCTTCCCATGCAATGCACGGGGACCCACTCCATAGCTGACAATTTCTTCTGAGAGTGTTGCTGATGAAAAAGTCCATCTAGAATACTTCCAGAAATTGGATGTCCTGCATAAATCCAAGATAAAGGAGCCGATTTGTACAATTTCCTCACTTCTGGAAATGTGTTTCGCTGAACCATCCCAAGTTTAATGGAGCTTTAGCTGTGTCTAAGGTCAGCCTGCAGGTAGGGGATGGGAGGAGAGGGTTTTCTTTGATCCATCTAATGAATTAATAAATTAAACAGAAGTGGAGTTCAGAAGCCAGGCTCCTTACTATTGCTGAAGCAGGGCTGATTACCAGCAGCTGTAACTGCTGGAAAAATGCAGCCTCTTGCTAGAAGAATTAGGGACATGGCCGAGTCCATTCATCTTCCCTAATCGAGTTCTTGGGAAATACACATGTAGATTAGCCCCTAACAATGACCCCCAGCTGATTGCTTGGAGTACCCTCCTCTGTGCCCACAATAGTACTGACTAGTTCTTTATGTCCAGCACAAAGGAAGCCCCAGCCTCCCCTTGTCCTGCTTTGCCCTGTTTCCCCCAGGCCCTACCAGAGGTTGTTGAAGCCTTTTCTGCTTTTCTCCTGAGAATCTGAAATAAACAATAAATAACAGCTAACCTCACCTGGACCTATTAGGAGGCGCTGGGCAGTCCCAGAGGGAATTAACATCGGAAAACAAGGCCATAAACCCCTTAACAGTGTGTGGGCAGGAGTTTAGGAAAATGCTGCCACTCCTCGTTTAGCGGTGATTATAGAGACCTATTTAATATTGGAGAAGTTAGCATAAAAAACGTTCTTGGTCAGAGGGGATACAACAAATACCAATTAATTATTCCTATGTCTGCCCTCTGGTCATCAACACCTCCACACCTCAGCCTATTGTGTATATAACTGGCCTGATAGAACTTGTCAGGGTACCACCAGGATGTTGTGGGGTGGAGGAGATACTGCCTTTGACAGCCTAGAAAGACAGAGGAGGGGTTGGGAACAAGCTCGCCTGGTCTGTTGGGAACCTCCTGAGGGTTTAAGTCACCTTGATTCCAATGCCCAAAGGCCACCCCTTAGATGCACCATTCAGTCTCAGGGAAGGATCACAGCTAGACTAAGGTGTGCTTTTATTCTTTCCAAAAAAAATGGCACTCTACAATAAAATTACCAATGAGCTGCAGGCAGAAAACACTGGACAAAGAGTCAGCTCGGCTGAGTTCCAGCCCTGACCATCCAATAGTTGTACCACTCTGAGCCTCAGTTTCCTCTTCTGTAAAATGGGGACCAATATGTCTGTGGCGACCACCTCACAAGATAGTTAGCATCAGATGATATGAAGAATATGAAGGAATTCTGAAAACTATAAAGTGCTATTACTTTTCATTAATTTGGCTTTTCTTAAAATTAAAAATAATTTCTGACTTGAATAGCTCAATTTCTATCTACTGCAAACTCACATGCTTGCTATGTTAGTTTACTTTTTCATAGTTATATTTAAAATGGAGCCATGAGTGTAATGAACCCTTCCATTACGGAGAAATAACCATGTAAGAACCCTTAATGTAGTCACTTGTCCTGTGTAGATGTCCTTCTAACACCAGTTTAAAGGCGGAAAGTCCAGAGATGAATTTTCCCGTTTCCCCCTTGTTTACTCTCTTCTTGTCTCCCAGATTGGTTAAGCTCCTCCAAGCCCACAGCCTGACCTTTCCTTTGTTGTTTAACGCCCACAACGTCACCTTCAGCAGTGCTGGGCACTCAGAGAGGACGTAGCAAACCAAAGAAAGGAAAGGTGGGGTTAAATAAGACGCCGCTGCCTTGGAGATCAGAGTGCCTACTGAAATCTAGGAATGAGGTCCTCTAGCTCCTTAGGATAGCGTTTTAATTCACGGTCCTTGCTAACAGTTCGGGGAAGGCAGGGCGCCTGCCTGGGCTTTGAGGGGTCAGTGTTCACAGTGCCATGGTCCATCAGCACTGCGGGCTGAAACATGCTCCTCACAAATCATCCCTCCTATCGGCCTGGGAGTCGTTCTGGGGTCCCCAAGGGAAAAAGAAACTCAAGCGGATTATGCGTGTAACACTCAGGGCAGCGAGAGGCCTCCTCCCTGGTCTGTCCCCAGTCTTCAGCTTTGGATCTTCTCGGCCACAGAAGTGTCAGGACGAAGAGAGGTCGCCGCACATCAGTAAAGGACCCCGCCCTTCCCAGGACAGCTAAACAGAAAGAGTCTTTCGCGGGGCTTGAGCTGCAGGTGGGACTCGGGGCCTCCCAGCCTCCTGCCGGGGGAGTGGGCGCTGGAGGTCTCCGGGCCTGCAGGCGCAAATAGCCCCACCGCCTCCTGGGGCGGGCGCTGGAGTGAGGGAGACTGTCCGCACTCAAGTCGGAGGGACAAGAAGTCTTTAAAACAGGCAGATACAGACAAACTGTACACGACGTCCTGGGCTTCAGACCACAGAGGCGGGAGAAGAGTGTCGGCTAGGCTAGAGGAGGGGAAGAGAGGGGGGAATTCAAACTGGAAAATTCAAAATTCCAACGGGTCAGAGCTGGGGAGCCTTCCGCTGGGTCTGGGCGCTTCCAGGGGTCTCCAGGGTAGGGCTGTCGGCAGCAAGAAGGGAAGCTGGAGGGAGGTGAGCTTGTGGCGGGTGACGGGAGATGACCCTAGAGGTAGGTTAAGTCGGAGTTAGGGGGTAAGCCCGAGCGAAGGGAGGCAAGCCCAAGGCGAGAGCTCAAAGGCGTCCGCCCCAGTGAGGTAGGACTGGGGAGAGGGGGCGCTGATCTGGGTCCTGGATCTGTCAGATATCCCAGCGCTGGTCCCCAGACGTGTTGGTAGTGGTTAAAACTGATCAAGAAGTGAGAAGAGAATGTTCCAAAACCGGCGGGACTGAAGTGGCGCTGCGTGGAGTTGAGGTGATGGCGGGGGCCTGGACCCCAAAGCTGGGCGGGAAAGGCCACGCCCTCTACGGGGGGCGGGGGCTGAGAGGAGGGCTGGGTCCCCTGCGAGAGGGGAGGAGCCGGGGGCGAGCTGGCTCCCCGCCTTTAGTACCCGGAGCCCCATCCACCTCCAGTCTGAACTGAACTGCTCGCCAACTCCTCTAAGGAGCCAGACAACCCCGGGCGGAGCGCTCGTCCACCTCCAGCGCCTGTTGTCACCCGCGAGCTTGACCTAGAATCAGGCCCCGTCGGATGCCCGGTCGCACTCGGGAAAAACTCACTTCCAGACTCTTCTCTCTGTCTCCAAAGCGCCTTCCCGCCTCTCGGTACTCTCCATGCACCTGCCGGGCTGCGCGCCCACCATGGCCGACGGGAGCTTCTCGCTCGCCAGCCACCTGCTACGCAGCCCAGGAGGGAGCACCTCGCGGCTGCACAGCATCGAGGCCATCCTGGGGTTTACCAAGGACGACGGGCTCCTCGGCACCTTCCCGGCAGAGCGGGGCGCCCGGGGCGCAAAGGAGCGGGATAGAAGGCTGAGCGCTCGGCCGACCTGCCCCAAGGGATCCGAGGGAGGCACCGAGCCTTCTCCTCCGCCAGCCCCGGCGCCTGCCCCGGAGTACGAAGGTGAGTGCGCACCCCGGCTGCTGCCAGCCATCTGGGCCCTCAAGCGTAGGAGCTCTGCAAGAGAGCTCCCCTTGCTTAACTTTTCTTAAGGCTCTGCGCGCGGGGTTGAGAGTGTACACGGCAGGACCTTCCAACTTGCATCAGAGAAAGCATAGGGACCCGTCGCAGCCCTCACTCCCAACCTCTATGGGCCATCTCAGAGCCCTCGGCCGGGCTAGCCAGAGCCCGAGCGGAGGCGGATTAGGTTAGGGGATTCTGGGGCTAGTGTCTCTGACCCTCTGGGACCTTGTCGCCCCAGTCCCTCGCCCTTACTGCCCCAAGCAGCCCGGAGAAGCACGGCCAAACCCAGGGCTGCCCGTTGGGCCAGCCACCGGCGACGCGAAGCTGTCGGAGGAGGAGCAACCGAAGAAAAAGCACCGGCGGAACCGGACGACTTTCACCACTTACCAGCTACACGAACTGGAGCGCGCGTTCGAGAAGTCCCACTACCCCGACGTGTATAGCCGCGAGGAGCTGGCAGGCAAGGTCAACCTACCCGAGGTCCGGGTCCAGGTAAAGCTCCTAGATTAAGGGAATGGGATCCCCAGAGCCGGAGGCCCAAACTGCAGCCAATGCTGCTCTGAATTCCCGGCATCCACGCGTTTATTATGGTACTTCCTCGACTTGCCATGGTCAGAGCCCCAAAGGAGCGTCAAAGCTCTTCACTGTACCCATGCCCCACCTCTCAGGCAGTTTGTTCACGGTGTGGTATTGTCTCTCCTGTGAGATCTCCCTCCTCTGAATTAAAAAGAGGAATTGGGAATGGCTTGCAAGATGAAAAGTCTGACATCTCCTAAGACAGAGCCAGGATGGGAGCTGGGGGAAGGTGCTCAGTGGTAGGGGAGTGTAGACAGAGGCTGGGAGTACAGAACTGGGGCACCAGATACCACACTGGTCACTATGTGAGCAAACGATATTAATAACTAAAACCCTGTCTTCTTGTAAGGGGCCTGGAACCTCGTAGTCAAAACTTTCTGTGCAGTTAAGAGACTGATTTTCCTTCTCTGGTGCACATTCGACCAAACTTTGCACTGCAAAGGCCTTTTATTTTTTATAGTAAAGGGGTTTTCACTTTAATTAAAGCTGAATTATCTTTAATCCCTGATCATTAAAATATTTGAAAGCCTTAAATATTTGCTAGTCATCTGTGAAAAATCTGGGAGGATTTCCAAATTTGGAGAGTTTACAGAGGCCTGAAAGGGAGACATTGGGAACAAACTTCATTCTGTCCAAGAGTCAGTGAAATATGGGATTTGTGTGTGTGTGTGTGTAATAAACCCGTTTTCCAGGAAATGAGATACTCAGGTGTTTGGGGGCTTCTGCCTTTTCTCTTTTCTGCTTAGTTTAGGGGTTGAAAGTAATGAGTAAAAGTTATGGTTTTGAAAAACATTTCCAAATGTGACTCAGGATTATCAAGCAAGCACAGTTCAGTGTCTTGTAATTTGGGGTGGTAGAGCAACAATGATTTCATTGAAGGGGTGGTGATTTTAGCACCTGCTTTCACAGAAGGAAGGGTTGGATAGGGAGAGAGAAAGAACTTAAGAGAAAGATAGGCAAAGCCTCCTAATGCCCTGCCAAATCTAGGCATCCTTTCACACTTGAACTCTCCCTTTACTTGTTCAGGGATTCTGGCTTCTCCTCTAAGTTGTGAGTGTCCTTTCCTTGCCAGTGTTGCTTTTTTCTCGATTGGCAAATACCTAATATTTATAGGAGAACATATGAGTGCAGATGAACCACCTGAGTGAATGGATGGGAGTGCTTCCATTTTCATTGTGTGTCTCTCTCTCCCAAATTCCAGGCCCTCACATTTGCCCTGCTCTGCTCAGGTGCTAGGGTGCTGTTTTCCCTAGAAGCCTCCCTCACACCGGCTGCTACTGGGGGCACACTACCTCCCTTATTACTCAAAATTACTTTCTTCCTTCGGAGGTTGCAATTGTCCACCCACTTCACTTCCTAAATATAACACTGAAGCCATCAGTTTGGCCAAAGTTCTTTTACATTCTTTGCTAAACTAAATCGAGGCTCTCTGTTCAACTTGTTAGGGTGGAACTTGGTGGTGAAACATTAATCACACCCTCTCTGGTGCTTTTCTCAAATCAGTAAGGAAGGTTCATTGGAAGAAATCAGACTTCACTCTTGGCAAGGACTTTCTATATGTAAAGAGAAAGAATAAAGAAACTTGTCATTGAGCTAACATCTTAGGGTAATGTCAAAACTGACTCCATACAGTAAAAGGTTGGACAATTAAGTTCCAATCCCATCCTAGAAAAAAGTGCTACATACTCATTGCTGAATATCACTGTGGACACCAAGGTGATATTCAGCAATGGAGATATAGAGCATTCTTTTCTAGGATGAGTTCATGAACTTAATTGTCATTTCTAGTAGAGCTGATAAACTTGAATGATTGCAGTCTTTGAAAGCCATTTATAAAGTGTCAGAAATAGTAACCAGATATCAACTAAATTAAAATCTTATTAAAGCAGAAATTAAAATATGCTTGGGGTAAAAGAAACCCATTTGCTCTATCTGGCTATTGTAACCAGTAATCCGTGTAAATAGCTGTATTTTAACGTCCAAGCCTGCAAGTTACTCTGGTTAACAGTATTTATTTATACCCCTGTTTATAATAGAGATATGGGCTAGTTAAAACACATAGTCTAAGAAAGCAGCAATGAGAGCTGCACCATTCAGAGAAGAAGCAAAGTCCAAGTGAGTGTCAGGAGTGAGTTCTGCCGACCATCAGGTCAGATCTGGTTTCAAAGTCCTATGGTTTGATTGCAGAGTTAAATTCACTTTTTTGTTTGTTTGTTTGTTTTCTTGAGCACCTGCTCTCTAGGGGGAATTAGAAACAGATACAGCCACAGCCAAGGGTGAGATAAACAGATAAAAGGGTGAGAATGACACAAAGAACTAAGATGGGACAAAGAGATTCTGGGGAGGCAAGAAAAAAGGAGGGAAGAGAAAAAAGGGAGAAAAGAGGATGGAAAAGAAAGAATTCAGGGGTGGAAGGAAGATGAGTGGTGTCTGCCCCATAGGTGCAGAATAGCCTCAGTTTTATTTGGGGGTGGGGTTTCAAGCTGCAGTTATATTTTGGTGTGCGAGAGTCAAGCTAGCAGGCCTCCGCTGGCTCTAGGACAGTGACGCGGCCCGGGCCTCTGCTGCTGCCTGATGGCCGCTATGGTCCCTCCTACAGGTGTGGTTCCAAAACCGACGGGCCAAGTGGCGTCGGCAGGAGAAGCTGGAAGTGTCCTCCATGAAGCTGCAGGACTCGCCCCTCCTCTCATTCAGCTGCTCCCCTCCCTCGACGACGCTGGCGCCCCTCGGGGCGGGCCCGGGCAGTGGCGGTGGGCCGGCTGGGGGCGCGCTGCCGCTGGAGTCATGGCTAGGACCGCCGTTGCCGGGCGGGGGCGCCACCGCCCTGCAGAGCCTGCCGGGCTTTGGGCCGCCGGCGCAGAGTCTGCCCACCAGCTACACGCCGCCGCCTCCGCCCTTCCTTAACTCCCCACCGCTGGGCCCGGGCCTGCAGCCTCTCGGGCCGCCGCCGCCCGCCTACCCGTGCGGGCCCGGCTTCGGGGACAAGTTCCCGCTGGACGAGGCGGACCCGCGCAACAGCAGCATCGCCACGCTGCGTCTGAAAGCCAAGGAACACATCCAGGCCATTGGGAAGCCGTGGCAGGCCCTCTAGGGGCCCCAGGAGCCCACCCCGAGCCGCGTGCCGAACGAGCCGCGCACATGATACCCTCAACCTCTCTCCCAGGGTCACCCACGCAGCCTCTCTTTCCCCGTTCCGCCAGCAAGCCATGGCCAGACTTCTGAGGGGTTCCTGCACCTGTTTCTGATGCACTGGGGTTGGCAGAGGCCAACCCTCAGGCCTGCGGAGACCCTTGGCCACTCCACGCTCCTTTCTGCCCATAGCCTGGCAGCAGGCGGGAAAGAGGTTCCCCGGCCCCGCTGTCGGCGCTGCTCCCATCCCCGTGGGCTCTGGAGTATCCAGGGCCAAGGGCCAAGGCTCCTGAATTTCGCCCTTACCAGGGGGCTTGGAGACCCCAGATAACAGTACACGAAGAAGGAGAGGCAGAAAAAAATAGACTTTGAGGAATTTTTGTAAAAGTAGTTTCAACGTATTTGGAAGGAGAATTAAAGTTTTGCTTGTTTTGTTTTTGACTCTGTTTAAGTGCGTCCGGGACTGGGTGGGGGGGGACGCAAGTAAATGAGGGGGCACAGGAGGAGGGTATGGTGATGGACCAGGCCGATCAGGAAAGGGCTGCAGAGCTCCCTTGGGCAAATTCTGGGGACGCTTTGCTGCAGCAGAAAATCTTTCCCATGGGGGATGTTGCAGCCCCTGGGCCAGAGGCATCTGTGAGGGGGTCTCAGGTGTAGGGGGACTAAGCCTGAGCTGCTGGAGCTCTCCCAGTTCCTGGTACCCTATAGCCCAGCTTTGGTTCACACTTTGAAGTACTGACACCAATAGGAAGCGTCTACACCTCCTTCCACAGGGTGAGAGCAGAATGTCCCTGCACTGCTCTCTCCAGTACTCCGCAGTCCAAGAGCTCCTCCCAGGGCTGAGGACATTCTACAAAAACTGCCACAGACTCTTTCTGTAGCTTTGAGACTCACATTCTCTCCCTCCCTTCTCTCTCTCTCTCTCCTTCACACACACATATTCATTCTCGCCTCCTGAACTCTCTCCGCACCCCCACTCCTACCCAGGGTTCTTAAATGCCTGTGGTGGACAGTATTGTCAGTTCTGTAGCTCTAGGGTGAGGAAAGAATCTTGAAACCTCTGTTGCCTTCAGCTCTCAGGGTCTTGGCATGTCTGGGTGAAGGAAAATCCAGGACTCTTGCTTGCAGGGTCTCAGCATTCCATCCACCCTCGAAGCTGAGCCAAAGCAGGGGCAACCTACTTAGGCTGAGCGGGGGTGGGCGGGGGAGGGAGGTGCATCTATGTACCCAGAGCTTAAGTGTCAACCGGCTACCATCTCTTGGTCCATAGCACCTTAGTGAAACTCCTCAGACCCTTTTCCTCATCTAAATGAACACTGCTTGCTTCTTTGGAAGGTAAGGAAAATGGAATAAGATAATCTGTAAAGGTTTTGTGTAAACTACCAAGGACCTGGCATGAGGCAATACACATTGTAATCACTGTTCCTCCGAAAATATTCTCCAGCTGCTCTGCGAAAACTGCTTGGGTAAAGCATGACTTCTCCTGGGCTTGGATAGGGGAACTTCAGAGCAGGACGCAGTCCTAACTCAGTGGGTCCTGAGAAGCTATGGCTTCAGCAGGGTTGTGTACCCCTAGAACTTCATCTGGTACTTGCCCACTATAGGCTGGTCTGTAAGAATTCAGTATGTAGGTTATTTTCTCCAAGAGGTGGGGAGTAATATCAGTGCTTTCCCTCACAAGAATGACTCCATTTGGGAAATGTTTGGAGCAGCCCAAGTGATCTCATCTCCTGATAAGAAAATAAAAACAAACAAGCAAACACAAGATGGATACCCATGTACATTTATGTCCATTTGGTCTATCTCCACTTCACCCTTTAAAGCCCTGGTTAAAATAGGGGTGATTTATTCTGAGAACTCCCAACATCACTGGTCCAGCAAGAGGACCACACTTGCTTTATCCCCCTTCAGGCACCATCGGCATCTTCATCATTTCCCTTAGATCACTGCAACGATTATTTGCTTTGTCTCCTCTCTGGTGATTTTCTATTCTTCAATCCTTATGCAGTTTCCTGCTACTCTCCCTGCCTCTTCTCCTATTCACTTGTCTCTGATAATAAATGTTCCTCCTAAGCATCAATCTAAGTACAAAATAGAGTGAACTGCAATCAGATTTCAAAGACAGGCCCTTAGGAAATTATCATGAAACTAGTGATAGGTGATGACCATTAAAATCTTGCTATTTACCAGCACTCTCCTAAGGTTCTACACATGCTGACTCAGGTGAGCCACCGAACAGCTCCACTAGGAACTGGTTCCAGAACAGAACAGGGGACTCCTCCCACTTGACGGATGGGGTCGCCGAACTTTCTGAGGCCGCGGTTGCGGGCTGCTGCACAGTCAGCACCGCGTGGCGGCGGCCGGCGCTCCTGCCACCGGCGTATACCTGCGTCTTAGAATTGGCCCTGCCTCCGGTAACTGCAGCTGGGGCTTCTTCCTTTGGAGACAACGGTGCTTCCGGCTCTGCTGGGGAGGACATGGCCTCGAGGGCAGCAAGCAACTAGTACATGTCCTCGGTGGGGAGCAGAGGCTGGTCCGGCGCCCCCGGCCAGCCCTCGGTGGGGGCCTTTCCCACCTGGGCCGGGTCAGCCCCCGCCGGCTGCACCTTCTCGGACTGGTGGCCTTCCTTGACCGTGGGTGGTTTGGGAACCGAGTCCGCGTGTTTCCCAGCGCGTGTGTGGTGGGTGCCTTGAAGGGCCTTCGTGGAGGTTTTCACGGTGGTCCTGCTCCTCCTCTTGGGCAGCGGGCTGCAGTCGTAGTGAACGGCTTGTTCCAAGGTCGTGGTGGGAGGCTGGAATTCCTGGTCCTCGGCGGCCCGGTGAGCGGCGGGGAGGGAGCGCCCCGACTCTCTAAGGAGAGGGGCCGTTCCTGGCTTCCCTGCTCCAGTCTTGGGCTCGTTAGGAGGCTTGGTTGGACCTGGGGCGTCAGGACTCCTGCCCCCTTCCTTGCGTCTAGGGTGTGTAGAATTGGCTTGTTTGGGTCGCCTGGGCTTTCGCCCAGGTCCGGGTGAGGGCTGCGGTGGTTGCAGCGGCGGCGGGGGCGGTGCGCTGGGTCGCGCTGGCCGCCATCTCCGCGGCGCCGTCCCCTGGCCGCCCCCTTGGGCTTTCAAACCTGGAGGGCATGTGGGCGCCCCTGGTCGCCGCGGTCAGCACACACCGGGCGTTTTCCCTGGGGGTGGGGGCTATCCGCGCGCCGGGACCTGGCCGGCGTCAGAAGATTGCCCATCAGAAGGGTCCACGGGCGCGGTCCTGGGGCACTTCTTCCCGTCGCCTCTTCTCCCAGGACCCTGAGAGCTCTCGCAGGGTGTCAGGAGCTCGGACTCTGCCCTGGGCCTTTTGCGGCGGGGCTCCGTGAGCGCCCCTCGGTGCCCTGGTCCCGAGGGGCACCCCCGGGGCGCTCGCGGGGATGGCTGTGCCGCAAGTCTTGTTGGTCGCGCGCCACACGAAGCAGCTTCTTCCAGCGGGCGGCCAGGTCCCTGGCCAGGAGGCCGACGTGCTCGTCTTTGCGCAGGCCCTTCGAGGTTCTCCGGATCCCAGTCTCGGCGAAGATGTGCGCCGTCACCGGCAAGCCAGAGAGCTTCCTCACGTATTTCTGGACCTTCCCCGGGTCAGTCCTAGTGGCCAGGTGCGCCTGCAGCTTGTCCACCGCCCGCAGTGTCCAGCCCTCCTCCACGGCCGACCCTCCTGGCTGCAGCTGAGCAGGGGTAGGTCGCGGAGCCGCAGCTCGGTGCGCGGAGCCCCAGCCCGGTGAAGCAGGCATCTCTTCAGCGTCAGGGCTGTCCAGCGGCATCTTACCCGGGAACGTCTCATGATCCGTCGTTTCCTCCCCTTCTTCCGACGGAACCTGCCTGGCTTCTGCTGAGGCGCCCGCATCCGTGGGCAACTGCTCCTCTTCTTCCCCTGCCCCGGCAGACACGGTGGTGGGCACGAATCCATCAGGGATGTATTCTTTTCTTTCCTCTGCTCCTTGACTCCCAGGCCGAGGAAACTGAAGTATCTTGTGCCTGCTAACGGGAAACGAAGGGATTCGGTGTGGGAAAGTGACAGGTTCCATACGGTGAATGTAGTCTTCTAGTTCACGCAGGCTAACCCCCATAAGTTGGAAAGCTTCACCAACGTCATCCACACTTGGGTCTGTTCGGCCCTGGAGCTCAGAGGACCTACAGCAGCCGCGGCCCAGCTGCTGCAGATAGCGCTCCGGCACGTTGGTGAGGAGATGGCAGGCGCCCAGCTGCACCCAGTCCCAGCCCAGTGCCTGGCAGATCTGCACCACAGAGACCCTCAACAGGGACCTGGAGTAACTCTTGCACATCCTGCTGGGCACGACGCCGCTGCAGCCCTTGCTGCCACCTCTCTCCAGCCCCACCGCCCCCTGAGCCCCCAATACAGAGCTCCCCCCTCCTACCCCTATGCAACCTCCAGAAACCCCCTGCCCACGTCCACCCCGCGGCAGGGAAATCGTCCCCCGGCGTCCCTGACGGCCACCTCACCTCAAAGCCTGCTCCTGGGTCCTGGGTCCTGGTCCCAGGATGTGGAACCACAGCTGTGCAGTCCAGAGCGCACTCAAGGCCCAGGCCCCTGGCCCTGCAGGCCTTATATAGATTCGCCCTGCCCCGCCCCGCCCACCCCGGCGCAGGGCCATGAGCCCCGCCCTCGCGTTTGACCTGAGCTGACCCTGCCCGTGACTTAGCTGGAGACAGGCCAACGGGAGGGACCCACCGTGGGTCCCACAGGACCGCAGTAAGTGACCTAGAGATTTAAAATCGATGAGAGGGCGTGTGTACCTTATATATGCAAATACCAGGCTATTTCGTATCAAGAACTTGAGTATCAGAGGATTGGGGCATGAAGCGGGGGAGAGAGCAGGTCTGGAACCAATCCCCACGTTCGTAGAGTGCCTTTACAAACCCCCAACACACAATAAAAGAGAATCCACACACCTTTACCGACTGAGTTCAGTCTT